CACTGAAACTTACTGACAAAATCCTGCAAATCTACCATCACTGCGATCATTTATGTTCTGTTTGCTGCATTTCCAATAAATTGACATTCTTTGGGAAGTTGTTGAATCAAACATGGAGTGAGAATTTTTTATTATTATTAAATAGTAGCCCTACATTCTGAATCAATTTGTAGTTATTTTAACGATATAATAATCTTCCTAACCTACATATGTAGGACAAACAGAAAATCCTAAAAGTATTTTGTAACAAATAATTTATAATTTAATAATTTTGGTAAGACCATATTTAAAACGACTCCTAGAGAACTGGGCTTCGAGATTGCATCTGATAATAAAATAGTAGGCCAGGTGTGGCCAATTGTATATTTTACCGGACTGTGATTTCAAAGTTTCATGTTTAGTGTTTCGCTACAAAAAAAAAAAAAAAAAAAAAAAATACCCCTCGTACATTAGGCCCGTTATTGTATTATACAAGTGACAGTCAAACCATACTTTTAGATTAAAGTAGCCCAAGAACTGGCAGTGGTGCTGTTGAGTAGCTGCCTTTCCCCTAGTCTATCAGTTCAAAACTGTGGACTGATAACTTCTGTAGCTCTACAACAATACCTGAAACAATCAAATGAAATTAATATAATATGCAAATACAAAACATCATAATTAAGAGAAAGTGAGGTAAGACGGCCCCTTCAGTAAAACGACCACCCCTGTATATCGTCAGTTATGACGTGCTACCGTCTAGACTCTAGAGTAAATATCTATCGTTTACGTGATCCCGTGAATGAACACACACACATTTGCGAACAAGTGCGAATGTGAATGATCAAAGCGCGAATTATTTTTTTTTCGATTTTGAACAACTTTGAGCTAATGTTTGAATTTTTATGATTACAGTGTAAACATTTCAAGGAATTTCACTTTGTTGATTCAAACAGTGAAGAATTATAGACATCTTAATATACTATAAGAGAAACACAGTTCAAATCACAATTTAATATATTTTGTGCGATTGCTTAATTATGAGTGGGTAAGCATAAGACGGCCCACCTCAATTATGCCATTACCTCACACTAGTATCCACGTTCTTTTGCGTTATTGTTCAAGACAATGTATAAATTCCTCACGGCGCACGGCCTTCCGATCCCCGCGTGGAGCATTTAAATGATGATTTAATTATTTAAATACAGTTACTAAATGCAACGTGTGTTCTAAATTATAGTTACTACGAATTAGATAGGAGCAATTTTACCCCATCTTAGGATCGCTTTTATTCAATTTTCCCGGTAAAATGGCCCTTTACCAAAAGAAATATATTTGTCAATATAAAATAAATTTACGTTTTTGGTTGTTTTTTACTAGAAATTGCATTCATAGCAAAATGGGCCTCATTAAAAAACCCTTTTTTCTTCTTCATGGAATTCGTCTTAATTGGTGAAAAATGCGTTGAAAGTTTAGGTAACCATTTTAACCCACATTTCCCTACACACATAAAATGTAAAAGCAATTAGAGTGTAAAATTTTGGGAAGAATAGAGGCACACCCTCAATTTTTTTTCTTCTGAATAAAAAATAACCCCATATGTGGGCATTTCAAAAATTCATTTTCTCATCAAAACTCCATGTGTTTTGTCAAGATTTTGATACAATACGATCAAAGTATGGGTTAACTAGCTTTTATCTAAATCACGCCTTATCAAGGTCTAACTGAAGGAAGTTAAGTCTATTAATTCTCAAAACCTGTATTGTTTTCGTACTGCAAACGGTTTACGTTCCAGTCGTGTTTCTTGTGACATACTTTAATGTTCTTGTCTTCCGAAATCTCTTGCGACTTTTAAGCACTAAGAATAATTTAGTAAGTATTTTTAGTATATGAACCATCTGGAAGTAGATCCAATATACATAGAACTGCATCTAGGGCATTTAAATTAATAAACAACTTTAGATGTTATAAGTGATAATGAAAATCTATCTTTAAACCCGAAGAAATTTTGTTATCTGCATTCAGGTTTAAAAAATAACTCGTGAGTCTATTCGTGGATAAACTCTGCGGAAAAGTTAACGTATTTTTATCTCACTAACGATGCATGTGTGCCAGTATATGACAATATGGAGCATTATAATTTAGTTGTTTAAATACATTGACTTCTCCCTGAAATTAAAAAAAATCAAGAAAAAGTTGATTACATTTCCACAGCTAAGTATGTTTAGGAACAATAACAATATTGGTTATGATACGTAAACATATTTATGGTCTACTTGTTTCAAGAGAACAAAGAGTTCTGGTAATCACTGGCCTTAATTCCATATTTGAATATACAACTTGTGAATTCGCGGAAAATTGTGGTACGCGCAGGCAGACGGGTTCAAGGCTGCGGATGTCACGGGTAAACGAACGCGCTAAATACACAAACGCATACAGGTGCACACGTCATTTCTGCAGGGAGGATAGAGTTATTTCAACTGCTTAGTCTACAACATTTATTGGAGTAGACAAGAACACTGTACATAAAGCATTGGGTTTCGTGTCTTACACCTAAATTTGGAAGAAATAAATTAGGGCAAGTTTATAACGCAGTATTTTTTCGTGATTTTCGTTTATCTGTGTTTATTTATAAACCTTGAATGAAGGTTAGTGTTGTTTTTGTTTTAGCGTAAACCTACACAATTGGCTATGTGCGCTCTGTCTACCGCGGATTTTAGCGTTGTAAGTTCGTAACTTTGCTGCTGACCCATTAGGGGATTTTCTTTAACACTGATTTACTATGTTTTTGTAGTTTATTTTTAAAATTTCGAGATACTTTTAGAGCATTTATAATTCTGACCAAGAAATAAAAGCTCGAAAAAATTCCATTTTCACAATGGGCTATCTACCTTATGTTCACAATGAAGATCGAACGCAGATTTCTAATCTATGTGTGTGTGTGTCGTCCTGTACTTGGCTCTTTTTGTAATAATAAATATGTTTCGTATTTTAGACCTTATGAACGTTTGAAAATAATCATTAAATATTCTCTCTCTTGAAAAGAAAACACTGTGATTTGTTATAATAGTTTTGTTTTGTTTTTCTGGGCTTGTCTCCATTTTGAACTCGCCAGCCCTCTTGTACTCTTAAAAAATATAGCTCTGTGAATAACTTCATTTTCATATTGAAAAAGGGCGTTCCAATTCTACATCCACTACAATATATATGCTTCATATAAAACATTGCAAAACATTTATCTATAATAATTGCGAAATAATAATACTAATAATTAGGTAGCTCAGGTTAAACAATGACAGGAATTGATAATCACAGCAGACATAACTCTTTCTTTGAAGTAACCTGTGGAGATAGGCAATCAACTTGTCTTGTATCAACGTTCTTATATTTCTTTTCTCACTGCAAATAATATACACGTATACATAGGAAAAGAAAATTCATGAAAAAAAAAAAGAGAGAAACATTTTTAGCTCCATGAACACCCTCCGCTCTTTCAAGATTGAATGCTCTATATCTTTTTTTAAGCACAAAAGGCTATCTGTACTGTGTCGAAGGTAGGGATTGGACTCCAAATTCTAGCGTTATCTGCTTTAAAACTTACTGCAGAGCCATCTTGAAGCGTTATTAGAGTAACGGTCAATTCCGTTATTTGGTTCAAAAGCCTATAAATCCCTTGCAGTGGAGGGTGCTGCCTACTGGCTGCCTTGTCTTTTGTTAGTAACACAAAATTAAGGACAACTATATCTGAACCGTAGGATGTCTCATTCTGAGTTTGTTTGTTACACAATATACTGCCTGCTCTCTTGTCCACACAGAGAATCGAACCCCGGATTTTAATGTTGCAATTCCGTAATCTTATCGCTGACCCCGGAGTGACGTATCAGCCTAATCTGACAGTTTGGCCTATGTGTCACGTATGTTGCCATTCAAGTTGAAAATAGCAAATTCTCCCTCTTTCTGTTTCTACGTAGATATCTAATTACTTAAACATGTTAATAGAATACTTAGTGTAAAACCAAATTGTGTTTTTATGTCGATCAGACGTATATTACGTAGGGGGGAAAACGCTAAATTAACCAGTTATTGATAACTCAACCGAAAAAAAAATTCAATACTTTTCATCTGGTACGCTACTTGAGCTATTATAGAAATACTGTTTCGTATTGCAGGCCATTACTGCGATTTTTGGCCCGGCATGGCCAAGTGGTTAAGATTGCTCGACTCGCAATCTGAGGGTCGTGGGTTCGAATCCCCGTCACACCAAACATGTTCGCCCTTTTAGCCGTGGGGGCGTTATAAATGTGACGGTCAATCCCACTATTCGTTGGTAAAAGAGTAGCCCAAGAGTTGGCGGTGGGTGGTGATGTCTAGCTGCCTTCCCTCTAGTCTTACACTGCTAAATTAGATAGCGCAGATAGCCCTCGTGTAGCTTTGCGCGAAATCCGAACAAACGTACTGCGATTTTCTTGCCGATACATAAGTGGAAAAATATTTCCAGGAAGTAATGCGAAACATTATTATTATTTCAAGGATATTACGAATTTTGTTGATGTTTGGCGGAAAATCGGATTAGAGTATGTTGTGAACTCTTCTACTTAATTCCAAGCAGTCTGCCAAGTTTCTCGAAACATGTTAGTAAAACAAATTACTGATTCCAGTTAGAAAGATGTAACGCTTGCGTAATTAAAACGTCTTCTTTCCTGTATTTGTAAAGAGCAACTGAATTCAATGTTTTGCGCCGAGTGTAATGGAAACCTTTGTACTGTTGGTTGTGCAATACTGACAATGGCATTGAAAGCCCAAACGTTAATTTTGTTATCAAGGTCAACGATCACCAACCCTTTGTCATCTACGGTGCCTGCAAGCAAGTAAGAACGAAAGTTGTAAACAAGTGTTTGTGTGTGTGTGTAATCTACTTCTTCACACTCCGGTTGCGTTATTTCATTGGTTCCGTCATAAACAAATTAACCAATAGAAACATCGACGAATTCCCTCATGCGTGTTTTCCGACGTGGGCTGTTCGCTTGTTTTTTACGTAATATGTGTAGAAAGCTTACCTTTGTACTGAGCTAGTTCGATACGGCAGCGGCGAGGCTGAGTAGTTGGTGTTTGTACTCAATTCTGAGGATTTGCCGTGGCTTTGGCTTACTCTTGTATTGAGGTGGGTTCATCAAATACAAATCATTACCATAAATAATAGAAAATAATTATAAACTTATGATATTTCATTTGAGGTGTGTTCAGTTTGCTGTATTCCCCTCATATTTTTATTGATATATTGATAAGTATTTAATATTATATATGGAAATATTAATAGTATATATATTGGCATCAAGAATATCTAAATATTTCGCGTTGTTCAAGCCTACCCACTATGGTGTAATAATACATGTGTAACAAACACATCGCCTACATGAATTTTTCTGCCCTAACATACATATCAGTATATATTTTAAGAAAGTAAAATATATTATATGGTATATATATATGTATACACGTACCTCAGCTTGAACTCTGAATAAAAACTAATTTGAAATTTCATTTATGACCTCTTTAAAAGTAATAGTCATTTGCATATATTTCAGTAAATATTGATTATTCAAATTAGTCTCCAACCATTATAAATATTGATTATATTCTCTCTTCTGTGGGTCAGAGGTAAGCTTGAGGACTAATATAGAATTCGGGATTTGATCCAGACAGTGGGCACAGCATAGATTGTCCATTATACAGTTTTTTGTGTAACAATAATTGAGCTCACCGTAGCAGTTTAGCAAAGAATAATTGTTGAATTATAATATATAACTAGACCACCGTGACCCGTTGGGTCAACCACTATTCAGAGGTTATGAAGAATTCAAGTTAATTTCAATATTGCACCGAAATGAAGGTTTATTTTGAGATAATTTAATTAAATATTTCAATCCATTCGTGTCATTCATAATTCAAGAAAAGATATTTGACTGTTGATCGGGAGTAAAAGGGAAGACCATTTCATTTTTCAAAAAAAGTGAAGTAAGAAATTTCGTAAAGAGCGCGAACAGTAGTGTGAATGATTTTTTAACTGAGAAAATAAGCAAACAAACAAACAAACAGTCTC